GTATTTAATTACAAAAATATATATAGAAATATATATATATATATAAATGTTGGGGAACTGATTAGTCTGCTAGTGACTACACATGCGCAATGTGAACAATCTCCTTACATTTAGATTGACAGTAAAGATTTCAATGTTATTGTCTTAGAATATTGTTATAGCCACACATTCGACTGCTACTGACTCTAGGTTTAGCTAAAACCATCTCTTTTCCAGTACTTTAAGGTAACCTGTAAAAATAGGCATAAAGGAACTGCCAATTGCTGGCTTGTTTTAAAATGTGCAAGCTCCAGGGCTGATATGCGGACTCTGGCTCCATCACCTAATAAGCCACTGATCCAGGACAAGCATGCAGCCAGTGAAGCATGAACTACAGTCCTACACACTTGCTTAGTTACTGCCCCAGACATGGTATCTTTTAAACTAAACTAAACTAGACTTTGAGCTTAAGGAAGCTCCTGTAATGAAGGTAGCGCTAAACAGCATCTAAGGTACATATTCAAATATGCTGTGTGATCATTTTTACAAATAAGATTGTTAATGTTCGAGAGTTTCTTTATCCAGGGTGATGCTGGAAGGCCTGGACGTGGTGGACCACCAGGGGCATTCGGAGAGAAGGGAGATAAGGTAACTTGACATTATAATCATTTTATCTTTCTGTGCCACTTGTTACATAAAGTTTTCACTTTGCTACTCTTGGAATATGCTTATCATAGAAACCGATTCTATCTTCAGCATATTTTTTGCTTTTGCCATAGGATATATACATAAGATAACACAACCCAGAAGTGCCCAGATAGCTGTCACTTAAATCTGATATACAAGAAACAATGCTACTCCTTTTGTCTTAGTAGGTGAATTCAAAGCACAACATTCATGGGCTGAGTATACAGTCAGTATCCTTTACACATTTTTCATTACATATTTGCTTTCCAAAAATATTATATAACCAGATTTCTATTCAAACTTTTTTATACTTCTACATACATGCTAACACACAACTCTTGTACCTGGTACGCTCCTGATCATCTACATCATACTGACTGACAGCACAGCCCTTACAAAGCAAAGCAGGGAAAACACCCGTTGCATCATGGGAGTACAGTTGTCATCTTAGATGATTTATGTATGACATGCTGAAGAGGTAATGCTGCAATACACATTACATGAACTTGGCAATACAAGACATGGAGACACATAGACAGAACTGTAGATTTTCTAATATTAGGAACAAAAAAGGGCAATAGAGAAAGTAAACAAAAACACAAAAACAAAATGTGTATGACAGTAAGCATCAGTAGCCATATACCACTGTATTCAAGATCATAGTAAATATAGCCCTGTCCTCTTCATAAATGCAAAGAGACGAGGGAATTTACAAGTGGATCAAAGGGGTCAGGGGCCAGAACAAATATATCTCATTACAACACGTCCAAATACAGCTGTGCACCAACTTAAAGACTCCCAACTGTAGAGAACATATTTGTGGGAACAATCGCAGAGGAGGGCCACTTGAGAGCAACATGAGATCAGGTTCCAGCGTAAATATATGTGTTTTATGCTAGGAGCGCAAGACAGGGGCAAGGGGAGAAGGAAATAGGGTAAAGATGAAGCACAGACAGAAGTAAGTACACGTAAAGCAGGAAGAAGAACACCAGTAGGCAATAACCCAACCCCTGGGGTCCACACAGAAAAGAAACAACCAAGGTATTAAGCCAGAGCATCTTGTAGTAAAGAGGAGAACTCCTGTGTAAGACTAAATTCGGTCCAGTAGAACCAAGTCCTACAGTGTTTTTCATGTAAACCCCTACTAGACAAGACCAGATCTTCCATACGTTCCACCTCTCCAACTCTATAAAGCCACATGGACACCATGGATGCTCTGTACGTCTTCTATAATTCCGGAATACAGCATCTGGCTGCATTCAGGAAGTGTGGGAGAATAGATTTCTTATAAGATTTCCTGGGAAAGAAGTTATGGTGGAGAAGGAAGAAGGCTGGAACCCACAGGATCTACCTATCCGTGAATTTGCAAAGTAAAGACTTAACAGAAATCCAAAAAAGAACCACCTTAGGGCAGGACCAAAAGATGTGTAAGAGATCACCTGTGTGTAAGAGATCACGCTTCATTGCATCTCCAACAGCAATTTGGAACAGAGGGAAACATTGAATGTAGAACCTGGGGAGTTCTATACAACCTAGTCAACAGCTTGAATGCTGATTCCTGGAAACACGTATGTATCGAGGACTTAAAGGTAAAATGGTTTGGTTACGTGGACACTGGAGAACTGAACAGTAAGATCCCACTCTCACGTCTGCAAATATTCAGTTGGAGTCGTCAGCAGGGAGTACATTAAGGACACTGCATGACGAACAGGGTCAGTTTGGACACTTCACTTTTTAATGGCAGTAAGTAGACGAAAGAAATCTGCTGCAGAGTGTAACAAACTGAGGAAATGGGACAGCTAATGCTTATTTTAAATGCACATTGTTCTTAATTATGGAGTTTTAAAAAACATACAGCATTCACTGCTCTAACACATGTCTCTTTATATTTTTCAGGGTCCCTCTGGAAATACTGGGGCTCCTGGAGCTTCAGGTTTAAAAGGAAATAAAGGAGGCCCCGGGACAGGAGGACCAAAAGGAGAGCCAGTGAGAAATTGTTTTCTTTTTTATTGCTGCTCACTGGCCACTGTTTGTACTATGTTGTCTACCGTATTTGGATAACTCTTGTACTTACAGTATATTGTGGCTCCCTTGCCTTTCTTCAGTCTTTCTGCATGACTTCTGCTTCACCATGACTTCTTGCTGCAGGTAGACTTTTACTCATTTCATGTCTTTGTCTAGGGTCGCAGAGGAGATCCTGGCAACAAAGGAAGTGCAGGTACTGATGGATCCAACGGAGAGAAGGTAAATAAGTGTTGCAACAATAAATAATGAAAATGACCATGGTGGATGTTGGTGGATTGCTCTTATAATGTATTTTTGGTTGCAGGGAGATCCTGGTCCAGAGGGTCCACGCGGACTTGGCGGAGAAGCTGGCATAAAAGGAGGAAAGGTAAATACAACATTCTGCTGCCTAGCTAAGTAACTGGCCCCAAAATGTTTATAATATCAGAATTCGTAAGTGGCTCTCATATGATATTCCTAGCTTTTAACTATATTGTGCTCACTACACAATCATTAGTGCCAGATGAATTGTTGTATTTTAACATGACAGTGACTGTTAGTATATAAAGTTATATAACAGATGGACATACTTTTCTTCTTAAAATTTCTATCAAAATATTGGGAGGTGTTGGAATTCACAAGAGTGCAGACTTTCAATATTTAAAGGGAATGCAGTTTTCCTTTTTTCTAGTCTGGTATATATATATATTTTTAATTTCAAGCCAGAGGGTGGGGGTCTAGGTTAATTTTCACATTTTTCCATGCTATCCTTATGGATTATGTTGAAAAAGCTGTGTTTACAGTGCTCAATAACAAAAGATCTATTTAACATGCACAGCTGAATGAGCCAGGAGTCTCCTCCAGCCTGCTCTGTTCAGACAGCCATATAAAGCTTCAGTTTCATTTTTGTTTCCCTTTAATGAATCATTTTACAACCCATTCAAAACACGTGTGTTGAATTTTACTGAGTTGTGTTGTAAATAGACCCTGACTGTGAATGTAGATTATTCATTCACTTAGATGAGCACTTCAGCTGTAGCCTGGGACTAATAGAATGAAATATATTAATGGTCTGTATAAATATATATATATATATTATATCTACAGTAGTGCTTGCACTGGAGGTAGAACACAGATGTAGTGGTGATTATATACTAACACAGTTCTATCTCTAAAGGGTGATCGTGGAGCTCCAGGACCAAGAGGAGCACAGGGACCTGTTGGAGTTGCTGGCAGAAATGTAAGTATGCTTTTTGTGTGTTATCCGGTTCCTCTTTAATACCTGTGCAGATATGTGCTCTGTTTCATTGTGGTACAGCAATTATGTGCAAATGGTACTCCACATAAAATCCTAAGAAGGGGTACAAAGTACTTTCCTCTATATACTCTATTTAGCAAAGTATCTTTTTATTTGAACGTATTTTATGCAACTATTCACTGAATGTTGGTGTTCCTATTTAATACTTTAATTGGATACCTCCAAGCGAATAAAATATGCTTAGTGGCGGTTTAAATTAAATCTGAAATTTGATTGGAGCTGATTGTTAAATTTATAATTTGCTGGAATATGTTTACATAGATCTGTCTTATCTGTGAAAAATTATGCCATTCAGATATTCAGTCAGTACTAATTCATTTACTTTCTAAATCTCTGAAGACATGTCAGCAAGCATGTATTCAGATAAAAAAAAAGATTCCAATGCCAATTGGAAGATGCCAATTCCGCTGTTTTGTGAGATGTTTGATCAATGTGCAGCTTAAAGAGCTGCCTATAATAGATACTGTGGTTGTTTCCATAGTCACCTACCCTGTATAAATAGATTAACACTCATATCTCTTTTTTTTTTTCTTAATGTCACATGTTTTCTTTTTTTTACTGACTTGTTCTATTTGAAATTACGCTGTCACCTGATTTTTTTGCATCTAGTAATTTTCCTTGTAGTTAAAAGGTAATGTTGTTTTTTTTAATTCTGAAGGGTTCACGTGGAGACCCAGGGGACATGGGTGAGAGAGGAAACCCAGGAGGACCAGGACTTAAGGTAGATAAGTACAGTATATAATGGACGTATTTATTTATTTGGACATCTTTTCTTACTGTTTGCCCATATCATGGTCAGACTGGCATGCTGTCTTTGGGCAAATGGTTAAGAACATTTTTACTGAACTGCCCCTTGATCAATTACGAGACATAATGCTTATTTTTCAACACTCCAAATGGTTTCTCACTGCCAAACTCACTAACACACTTGGAGCTCTTGATGATCTTTGAGATTGCGCACAATCGCATGCACCCCCACTCACTTAGATGTATGGCCCCCGCTTGGAATGCCGAACCGAATCAACATCCCCACATTGTTGTTCTTACATCCAACGACTCCTATGCTTCCAACTCGCTGACCGAGTGCTTTCATGGTTACTCTACTTTACAACACCAACTGTCGAACCTTTTGCCTCTAATTGATGTTGCCACCTCGACACTGGTGTTTTGGTTTGTTTGTTTGTATTTGCATCACTAGAGACCAGTTTTACATGCGTTTCCATTATAATTTTGTTTTTTCAATCACATTGTACTTGGTACCATGTGACTCTGATGACACATACTTGTTGTATTGTACTTTACCTGAAAATAAAAAATTTACATGCAAAAAGAACATTTTTAAAAACACGGGGTAAATTTATCAAAACTGGAGCAGACAAGATCTGGAGCAGATTTTCACTGCAACCTATCAACCTATCAGCTTCTATCTCTCATTTTCAAATCTCAACTGAGCAAACTGAAGAGAGATGCTGATTGGTTGCCATGGGCAACTGCTCCAGTTTCTGTCTGCTCCAGTTTTGATAAATTCCCCCCAGGGTCTATTCATTTCAACCAAAGAAAATTTAAAAAAGCAGACTTTACCTTTATCTTTAGGATCCCTAACCCCTTATTTTATCCAAAGGATAAAATAAGGGGTTAGGGATCCTAAAGATAAAGACCATTATAACATCGTCAAATTTGCTTTACTAGGAAAAACAAACCTTCCTGACCCACTAAGGCAATGGGTAACTCTACAGATCAGCATTCTACTATCAGGGCAATTGCCAAAAGGGTGAAGGGTTTGGAGAAGGCAGGATAAGTGAACAATCTAGGACAAAATAGCTGAACTGGAAAGTGAGCTGAATTGGAGAATTATTCCAAATCAGCTATTTTGTCCTAGATTGTTCACTTCTCCTCCCTTCTCCAAACTCTGCACCCTTTTGTAAATAACCCTGTATGTGTTTCCTTTTAATATAAGTAGCCTTTTATATTTTGAGTTTTTAACAGCTCATCCAAGCTTTCTTGAAAGCCGTCTACTGAGTCTGCTAAAACCTAGTCCTGTAGAAGGCTATTTTACATCCTCACAGCTCTTAGCCCTCATTCACACTTGAGCCTTGTGACAATGCGCGTTGTGTTTATGCACCTCTTTTGGCGTGCTTATTATTTAAATGAGCTGCTGTAATTCTGACAATCACATCAAAGAATTACATGCACCTTTTTTGTGTAAATTGTGCTGTACCAAAATGCTTGCTGCTTTGTACCAAGCCTTTTAGCGCACGATTTTGTGGGCTCATGAGCAAGGCACCCTTGGGGTGCTACTAGAATGAATGGCACTAAAGCACGGCTCCACTAAAGACACATGTTTTCTGCACAATTTAAATTTTTGTGCGTGTTGCTGCAATGCTCAGGTATGGATGGGGGCTTACAGTAACAAACTCATGCCATAGGCAGAAGCTTAACCTTTTTTATTTCCACTGTTCTCATGTCTTTGGGGATAACCTCAGCACTGACAATTTACTCATTTTTTATGTTGATCATTTATATATTTACACAAGGTGATCCTATCTCTTCCTAATCACCCCTTCTAATAGGTGAATTAATTCAGTGCAGTTCTTTCCTCATTGCTGAGGTCTTTCATGTTCCTCTTTTAATAAGTTGCCCTTTTTTTCCCTTTGTAATTCTATGGCAACCTTTTTTGTATGCTGGAACCAAAAACAGAACAGAAGACTCTGTCTTGGGGCAATAATATATTTCTCGCTCTTGAAGCTATGCTTTATTTAATATAAGAAGTATCTTGCTGGCTTTAGCTGCACATTGTGACAGAATGCTGTGGTCTAACTGAACTCCCATAACCTTCTCCATCAGGGATTCACCCAGTTTTAACCCCCCCCCCCCCCCCCCCACACACACACACACACCCCCTATATACACACACAGATTTTGTCATTGTTTGAATATTTGAGACATTACTTTTTCTTTAGACAGTATTTTTTAATCCCAAACTAGGTATCATATATAAACACGTTATTGAGTAATGGTCCTAATGCTCAATCTTGGGATACCGCACCTACACCTTGAAATCATTGGGCGTATATATCTTTGATCACTAACTAAACAATAACTAAAGCCAGTGTTCTATTCATTTAAAAAATAATATTTCTAAATAAATAGACTATACATTACATTAGACTATAAATACTATTAAATAGACTATACATTAGCTGTGTCTGAGAAAATGCATCTAAGGTTGTAGCACAGTCCAAATATACTGCATGCACAGCCACCCAAATGTACATCTTTTTGCTTACTACCTAAAAAGAAGGTAAATATATTTAGGTTAAAAAAAAAAACATACGCCTTGCATCCTCAAGATCCAGAGGAAGGCAAAAAAAACCTTGTGTGGTCTGGTTTGCTCTAAGAGGGAGGAAATGCCTTCCTGATCCCCAAAAGGCAGGAAGATGAACATCTGATGTTATTTGTATGCGATGTGTTAATGCAATAGCATTCTCTTTTAGGGAGACAGAGGAAGACCTGGTATCAGCTACCCAGGACCACGGGGATCTCCAGTAAGTAGGAGCACAAAATCAATGGCTTTGTATTTATTTAATTACACAAGAGCTATTAAATGTTGCTAAAATGATCCTAGCCTGCCTGAAAATCTGCTAAACTAAAGACAACGCTATATAGCAGGCAACATAAGATGCTGGATCTAACCTAAAGACTTACAAGATACCTCTTCAGTAGAGATGGGCTGGATGTTCGACTCGAACGTGAGCTCAACTCACATCGCTAGTTCGTGTGTTCGCCGAATACACAAACTATATGGGCATTCAGCGGTCTGTTCGACCGTTGAACACCCCACAAGGCAATGCGCCTTGTGAAGCTCTAATTGGCTAAAGGCTTGCATCTGACCACATGTCAGGTGCAAGACTTTGCACAATCATTGCTCAGTACTCTGTAAGAGCCATGATTGGGCAAAGTCATTATAACTTTGCCCAATCACGGCTCACCTGTCAGATGACGTAAAACTGTACACAGTTGGGCGGAGCTAGCTGTCACCGCTAGTTCCAGCCAATTGTTTATGCTTATCTGTCGAAATGCCATTCTGCAGCGAGAGTGGACAGGGCGGCGGTTGTCGTTTTATTTTTTTTTAATATTATTATTTCTATTTATTTGTTATTGTTTTATTTTTTATAGGGGGCGCATCTGGGTGCCCCTTTATTATTACGAGTACCCTGATGTGAAAAAGCCCCGTGCCTGCACCTCCACAACCAATGCCCCAGGGCTTGTGGGGAAGAGGCCCTTGTCCCCATCCGCATGGGTACAAGGTGCTTTTCCAGGGGCGACCTCTCCTCAATATTCCTACCAAACCTTAAGGGTTTGGTATCACTTTTGGGGGGAACCCCACACTTTTTTTAAAATGGGGTCCCTCCTAACATTCCTACCAGACGAAAAGGGTCTGGTATTGTTTGGGAGGGGGAACTTTTTTTTAAAACAAAATCGTTTTTTTTTCTTTAGAAATGTCAGTTTTGCTGCAGCAAGTTCTATGCATTGTACAGATCCGCCACTTTACAGGCAGGTTAAGGGAACCCCCCAGGCACGATATTTAAAGGAATTTTTCATTTTTATTGTTACCCTTTATGCAATGTTAAAATCACTGCTCCTTTAAAAACTATATTTTTAAAAAGTTTTTTTTTTCATTGATTCATGTGCCCCAAGGCAGTACCCGGATTCCCATACACCTTTTATGGCCAATAACTGAAGGCTTCAAAATGGGGACATTTGATTTTCAATGTTCTACCCCCATAGACTTTGAGTTTGAGTTCGAATATGAACTTTTCCCATGTTCGAAAGTACGTATTCAAACTGAGCACGGGGGTGTTTGGCTCATCACTACTCTTCAATACCCTGCCAGGGTCTTTTAAAGTATTCCTACTTGCATGTGTATTGTGGCAAGTATGACAATAGTCAGTGCCTGGACAGCCAATTTCCAGGCAAAATAGGTTATTTGGGGAGAATTATTTGTGAAGTCATCTTTGCAAATACCACTTTTTGAACAGTTTGTATTTCCATAGATTAGTTTGGAGGCTTCAGCAGCGCTTTGAAGTAAATTCCAGTAAATCTGCTAATTTGATCTGGCCCCTTGTGGTGACTACTATGCACTTGCCATTGTTCGTTTTAACAGAGTTGCTATCACATGTTGATGTCAATAGATGTTTGAAAATAGGGTTTCCATTGACATAGATGCCCTTTGTCCTATACCAGAAATTTCAGATCTAACCAGACACCCTTTTGCTGATTTAAACTCGCCTCACTCAGCAATAGTAGCATTTTGAGGGTACACTGATTTCAGGTTGTCTACTATTTACAACATCAAAGCCCTAAAAAGGGGGGAATCTGGTATTTTTCATTATACTTTTATGAATCATTGTCATTATTAAAAGATTTTGGACTCTCTGACCTTTTGTTTGGCATTCTCATTAGACTGTATATTTGTTGTTTTGGTTGTCAGTTTCTATCAGCAGCCTGTTGTTCCCTGTTGATTGTAGTGAAGATATTAGTGCCATGGATATCTGTGTCCTAGCAATAATTCTTGCACTTCTTAATATGTGAATAATTAAGTTTCCATACTGTATAACCATCATGGAATTATCACAATTCAAAGTTTTGGGAAGACACAGGGCTATTTAGGTAAAACAGTGGCTCTGCTTTTGAAAAATAGAAAAAGAACACTTTGTGAACCTGAAATATTGGCTCTTTTGTGGTGAGTCCAAAGAAGTGTGAAATAAATCTTCATTCTTCACATATGGAGGTGTGCTGTGCAGAGATATTGCTAGCATGAACGGTGGACAGTGCCATTAATCATATCACTTCAGTGCATGACTGCCGAAGGGCATTAGCATGTATGATTTATGGTCAACACATGATTCTAAGGATGTCTGCCTATCACTACACGTGCACTCTCAAAGCATGTCAATGTAGACATGTAGGACACATTGTCTATGTAGGCTGGGATATGATGGAGGCACTCCAAAAAACAAAAGGGCCCATAAGAGTAGTGAAGGATGGTAGGGGCTGGACTCTCAATATTTACTGTGAAGCCAGGCACCAATTAGGGTTCTCATAGCACATTTACAAGTTTGCTGATACTTGATATGATATGGCTGAAGCTGACAAGCAGTGAGAGCAACCTAATTTCATATGGAGGAGTGGTGGGATTTAGCCCCTGCCAAGTATTCTCTAGGATTGTGGCTGGGATGTTTACCTCCATCTCTTCAACCAGGCTAATTTTATCATTAGAAAGTCACTCATATAGTCTAATGGGGTCTGCACCATAAGGTTAGGGATAAAAATGTTCTTAGATATATATGCAGTTTACAACTGTGGTTTTTCTCAAATGTGAAGTCTAGCATGTCACAGTCATGCTTTGGGTAGGGATCTCCCAACTGGAATCCCATACCTCAGTAAGAATGTAGCAGTAAATAGAATTTTGTCTCATTGCATCCAAAACAAGAATACAGTTTTAGATATAGGGTAAAAATAATATGGGCAGTTGTATTGTACAGAATCTTGAGTAAAGGTGAAATCCTAACGATTTCTGCACATGACCTTCCGAAGTCCATATTTGCCACTCTGTGACTGAATATGTCTGTGGTGTATGGATTGTTTAACTGTCACATTTCTACTAAAGAGCTATAGGCCTGTTTGTTTATTCTTATATTAAATTGTGAACCTCAGTTTTATGGTAGATTAAATTTTCCTTTGTTTTTCTAGGGTGATAAAGGAGACAACGGACCACCAGGACCTCTGGTGAGACATTCTATCATTTTGAATTGTTTTGCACTAGACATGATTTCCTATTTTGTGTTCTGAATGACAAAAATCCTTCAATGAGTCCTCAAAGATCTCCCAACCATTCCATGAACATTTGAATTACTGCGGTTACACATTATTACTGTATAAGACAAGACAGTAACTCTGGCTTTGGCCATAAAGGCAGGCTACAAATATTTTAATCTTGAACTTGGCTGTAGGGTAAATATTTAATTAATACCACATACAGTATGTAACAAAAACTGGGGATCATACCTTATCTGGTACAGCTTGTTGCTACCTAGGATATTTTTTTCTGATATTCATTTGATTAGACAAACAGCAATGTGCAAAGAACAGCGACCCAGAACAGCCAATCAGTTCTGAATATTCTAATGAAAGGTAAAATCTCATTGGTCCCGGTGCCTGCACACTTCTGTATTCTGCATTGTTGATATGTATTTTATGATGTTCACTTTCAAGTCATGCCATATATGAGATCTTCATTTAATCTTTTCACAGGGAGGACGTGGAGACTTTGGACAAAAGGGAACACCTGGACCTAAAGGAGTGAAGGGAGAGGGTGTAAGTAGGCAACTTATACAGAAGGCACCATCATTGTTTTATCCATTGATGTTGCCTGCTTTCACTGAACTAAGTGCTTCTTTCAGTGATCATATGTTGGCCAGGTCTCATCTAACAAATACCTATAAAATACATTTAACATAAACTTCAGCCAGATCTTTAGTCTTGCATAGTTGTACAGGTTACTCTCCAGTATTAAAATTTTTACTCTGACTTCATTGTACACTGCTTCTCACAGTTTGCTTTAGTAGTTTCAGCAAGTCAGATAGACCCCGCCTTATTTTCTAGCTGGAGGACATTCAGCATTATCTAGCCTTTACCTCCCCACTTGAAATATCCTTGTCCTGCCCCTTTCATTCTTTACATTTCAGTTCTTTCAATCATGCTTCAAATGTGGGCATTTCCTTGGACAGTCTATTGTTTTCAGTAAGCTATGTGCAGCCACTCCCTCCAGCCATGATCTGTTTACAGTGTATGGAAAATCACATTGATGATATTGTTCACAAAGTTTATTATCATTTTGATGAAGGAATGGGGGGGTGTACACCAAGAAAGGCAATATATAAGGATTAAACTTCAGCTTTAACATATACATTTTATTGTCTATATTTTTTTCACAGGCTGACAAAGGATCCACAGGGGAGCCTGGCCCCCGAGGGCCACCTGGTGAATCCGGGGGTGAGGTAAGTGGGTGCATCCTCTTACATGTTACATAGTTACATAGTTACATAGTATTTGAGGTTGAATAAAGACATTAGTCCATCAAGTCCAACCTATTAGGATCTCATTCTAGGAGTACCTGTACCCCTGTATATTACGGTCCCTTAAGAAATCGTCCAAAAGTTTCTTGAACAATTCCACATTATTTGCTGAAATCACTGACTGTGGCAGTGAGTTCCAGACCCTAACTGATCTTACTGTGAAGAACCCCCTTCGCCCCTTGTGCTGGAATTTTTTTTCCACCAATTTTAGGTGGTGGCATCTAGTTTTTGTAATGGAGTTCATTTTAAACAGTTTATCGCTAATGTTGCTACCACCATTGAACATCTTGTACATGGAGATCATATCCCCCCTTAATCTCCTCACCTCCAATGTGAACATGTTTAAATTTAGTAGCCTTGTCTCGTAGCTCTGGTCCTCCATACCCCTAATTAGTTGCCCTCTGGACTTTTTCCAACTCAAGGACATCTTTTCTTAGTACTGGTGACCAGAACTGGACCGCATACTCCAGATGAGGTCGAACCAATGATCTATAAAGTGGCAAAATTATAGACTTGTCCCTGCAATACATCCCCTTTTTAATACAGGACAAGACCCTGCTAGCTTTGTTTACAGCAGCCTGGCACTGCAAACTACCTTTCAGTTTGTGGTCTACAATGACCCCCAAATCCTTCTCCATTTCTGACTTCCCCAGCGGCATACCCATAATTGTATAACCCATTTGTTTATTTTTAATTCCAAAGTGCATTACTTTGCATTTATCGACATTAAACCTCATCTGCCACATTAATGCCCACTCCCCTATTTTATCCAGGTCCTCCTGTTATGTTATAGTGTCTAAGTACGTGTCTATATCCCTCCCTATTTTGGTGTCATCCGCAAACACGGAAATATCGCTGTTAACACCCTCACCCTCCCCGATGGCAAAGATGTTGCCATCTTTAATTGTTTTGAGCTCAAATGTACAAACTGACCATATGGGCTTTTGAATCAATGAACTTGCTGGTCACTGAGAGCCATCATAAATTCCAAAGCAGGACCCCAGCATTGTTTGAAAATGAAGGTCTTAGAACAGCTCTTTTAGACCATTTGTCAACTCTGGACTCTCCTTTGCAGACTAAGGCCCACTCAGGGATGTACTAGCAGCCATCCTTCCTTGTGACTGCACGTGAGCAGCTGCTCTTCTGCCATATTGGTACTTGGATGCAGCTATTGCCATTGACCCCAGTGAAGTCACGCCTGAAGCTTGTTCAGTTAGATCACCTGAGTCATGGGTGTTCCAAATTCTGCAGTGCCAGTGACTTGTTAGGCTATTGCAGTCAAGATGCATCTGCCTCTGTCTGGAGTAACCTGTCTTCTCTCTAGCTATCTACCCTTGTGGTAAAAGGTTGATACAAGTTATTGGCATCTCTCGATAAGTGCAATGAGTCGCACTAGACACATTAAACAAATGTTACATAATTTGAGGGCCTACACAATCTATTCAATTTATATCCAGCCAGGCAGACCTGTGTACTACATTGCTGATGATAGAAGGAGATGTAATGTGTATCATAGGCTTAAAGCTGCCCATACACTAGTATATTTCCGACCAAATGTTCTACGAAAGATCTTTCTTTACCACCTGATAATGCCATCAGACACTTGAGGAATGTCAATTCAAATCGTTTGATTCTAAATTTTTGGAATTTAAAAATTTTGTTCAAGGAAATTTTCCATTTTACTCAGTTAATTGTTTTCATCACTACGGTCGAAATCGATCATCGATTCAACCCCATCAACTAGTAGAAAGTTCTTTTGAAAATCTAAACAATGTATGGCCAACTTAAAGCGTTCTATGCACCCTTAGAGACTCTCAGGCACCAAGGCCAAAATATCTCCCCCCTCCTCATGTCTGCAGATATTGTACAAAAGCTAACATTTATCTGAGGGCCATTTTGTAGTAACAAATGCAGCCATCTTTAATAGCTAATATTATCTACCATTGACAGCAGATTTTAACTTATTTTTTTTTATATTTAGGGTGGCAGTGGACCTCCAGGTGACCCTTCTTTGACTGTGAGTAGTTTATGATGTCATAATAAAACTATGTAATTAAATAAAAAGATTAACAATTGATAAATCATATGCAATTGTTATCATAACATTCTATTACAGCATAATTACACAATTGTATAATGCATGTGTGTAACAAGAGTATTTGTTTTTATTATTGCGCAGGAATGTGATGTCATGACATACGTGCGAGAGACATGTGGATGCTGTGGTTAGTTTTCATATATACTATATTGCATTTTATTTCTCTGTGATTTTATGTTACCCAAATCCCCAAAGGACAGAAGAAGAGTTGTCAAGAACTTAAATTCCCTGTTCAGTAAAATATACTGTATATATACATTTTTATTTAGTTGGCTTTTACGTGAATGTACATTTATGTTATATTGTATTTATTATGTCAACAACTAAAACATAGAGCAGGTAGTTGCTTTGCATCTTGGTAACAAACATGTTGCCACAATGCACAGGGTAAACAGGGCCTGAAGGTTCATTATTAAACACAAGAATCAATCATCCATGTACTCAAACCAGGTAACAAACCAGCATTGACCCATAAAATCTAAAAATCAGACAGGAAAAATTAAGCCTTGATATAACAATCTCAAAATCTTAGTAAAGTTTTTTTTTTGTTCTGAATATAGCAGTTAATAGTTAGGTAGCCTGACATTTTTTTGTTGTTGTTGCCTTTGTCCTCATTGGGGAAATTCACCCTCACTTTTGGAGACAGTGAAAGTTGTCACCTGGTCGGGAAGTAAGAGGAAATCGAAAATTTGACAGTTGTCAGAACCAGGGCTGGTGACTATTTTGCACCCTAGGCAAGACCAGCTACTTACACCCAAAAAAATAAGTTTTTTTTAAAATGGCACTTTTTTTAAATTATTTCACTGTGTGCCGTTGTAAAATAAAAAATAAAATACTAAAAATAAAAAAATATTTCCATGATGACACCATTATATTAAAAAAACAGACGCTGCTCCCACCTCTTCTGCCTGGATCTTTTGCTGATTTCACCATGCCCCATGCGTCCACGAGCTACTCTGTATCCCTCCTCACACCGCTGCCTGCGTCTACTGGACTCCACGGGCACTCTGCTCACTGGAGCCTCACACTGAAAACCAGGGCCGGACTGGGACAAAAAATAGGCCCGGGCATTTTAGACTGAGCATCACAATCGCGTGGCCCATGAAGGCCCTGCCCCATTGAAATCTGGGGGCAGAACCAAACATGGAAGTACAATCAAGGGGTGAGGCCAGCCACTGGTAAGTGCAGGAGGGTTACAGCCGACACACAAGCCTTGCTGCAACCAGCATACAAACCTTGCAAAAACATAGGGAGCTTGCTGCAGAGAAGTCTTGTGATATTCTCAGCAGTTCTCCACCTCCCCAGCCGATCTCTGCACACCAAGAAAGGTGTACAAGTCAGTGTTCATAAAATAACGTGCACAGTTCTCCAGCAATGCCAACAATACATTATACAGCAGCAGGGGCAGATGGAGGATTGCAGCAGGGGCAGATGGAGAAGCGCAGCAGGGGCAGATGGAGAATTGCAGCAGGGGCAGATGAAAGATCGCAGCAGGGGCAGATGGAGGATTGCAGCAGGGGCAGATGGAGAATTGCAGCAGGGGCAGATGGAAGATCGCAGCAGGGGCAGATAGAGGATCCAAGCAGGACTGATGGGGAATCGCAGGTAGGGCAGATGAAGGATCACAGCAGGGGCAGATGAAGGATCTATTACAGCATAATTACACAATTGTATAATGCATGTGTGTAACAAGAGTATTTGTTTTTATTATTGCGCAGGAATGTGATGTCATGACATACGTGCGAGAGACATGTGGATGCTGTGGTTAGTTTTCATATATACTATATTGCATTTTATTTCTCTGTGATTTTATGTTACCCAAATCCCCAAAGGACAGAAGAAGAGTTGTCAAGAACTTAAATTCCCTGTTCAGTAAAATATACTGTATATATACATTTTTATTTAGTTGGCTTTTACGTGAATGTACATTTATGTTATATTGTATTTATTATGTCAACAACTAAAACATAGAGCAGGTAGTTGCTTTGCATCTTGGTAACAAACATGTTGCCACAATGCACAGGGTAAACAGGGCCTGAAGGTTCATTATTAAACACAAGAATCAATCATCCATGTACTCAAACCAGGTAACAAACCAGCATTGACCCATAAAATCTAAAAATCAGACAGGAAAAATTAAGCCTTGATATAACAATCTCAAAATCTTAGTAAAGTTTTTTTTTTGTTCTGAATATAGCAGTTAATAGTTAGGTAGCCTGACATTTTTTTGTTGTTGTTGCCTTTGTCCTCATTGGGGAAATTCACCCTCACTTTTGGAGACAGTGAAAGTTGTCACCTGGTCGGGAAGTAAGAGGAAATCGAAAATTTGACAGTTGTCAGAACCAGGGCTGGTGACTATTTTGCACCCTAGGCAAGACCAGCTACTTACACCCAAAAAAATAAGTTTTTTTTAAAATGGCACTTTTTTTAAATTATTTCACTGTGTGCCGTTGTAAAATAAAAAATAAAATACTAAAAATAAAAAAATATTTCCATGATGACACCATTATATTAAAAAAACAGACGCTGCTCCCACCTCTTCTGCCTGGATCTTTTGCTGATTTCACCATGCCCCATGCGTCCACGAGCTACTCTGTATCCCTCCTCACACCGCTGCCTGCGTCTACTGGACTCCACGGGCACTCTGCTCACTGGAGCCTCACACTGAAAACCAGGGCCGGACTGGGACAAAAAATAGGCCCGGGCATTTTAGACTGAGCATCACAATCGCGTGGCCCATGAAGGCCCTGCCCCATTGAAATCTGGGGGCAGAACCAAACATGGAAGTACAATCAAGGGGTGAGGCCAGCCACTGGTAAGTGCAGGAGGGTTACAGCCGACACACAAGCCTTGCTGCAACCAGCATACAAACCTTGCAAAAACATAGGGAGCTTGCTGCAGAGAAGTCTTGTGATATTCTCAGCAGTTCTCCACCTCCCCAGCCGATCTCTGCACACCAAGAAAGGTGTACAAGTCAGTGTTCATAAAATAACGTGCACAGTTCTCCAGCAATGCCAACAATACATTATACAGCAGCAGGGGCAGATGGAGGATTGCAGCAGGGGCAGATGGAGGATTGCAGCAGGGGCAGATGGAGAAGCGCAGCAGGGGCAGATGGAGAATTGCAGCAGGGGCAGATGAAAGATCGCAGCAGGGGCAGATGGAGGATTGCAGCAGGGGCAGATGGAGAATTGCAGCAGGGGCAGATGGAAGATCGCAGCAGGGGCAGATAGAGGATCCAAGCAGGACTGATGGGGAATCGGAGGTAGGGCAGATGAAGGATCACAGCAGGGGCAGATGAAGGATCACAGCAGGGGCAGATGAAGGATCACAGCAGGGGCAGATGAAGGATCGCAGAAGGGGCAGATGGAGGATGGCGGCAGGGGCAGATGGAGGATGGCGGCAGGGGCAGATGGAGGATTGCAGCAGGGGCAGATGGAGGATCGCAGCAGGGGCAGATGGAGGATCGCAGGATGAGCAGATGGAGGATCTCAGCAGGGACAAGTGGAGGGTCCGCGGTAGGTCCGCCCCTGGTCGGTTTCTCCCCCTGCCGGCGGTGCACTGCTAATGCGGTGCTCAGAGAAGGGCATCAGAGTAGCTAAAGCTTCCCCTGTGCATATAAGACTAAAAAAAATCTGCATTTGTTTAATGCTGAAGCTTAATCTTCTTATATTTTGCCTTCCCTGATTTCTCCTTTTTTAGAAAGTAAGAAACTCCCAGTGTGCAGTGAAATCAGAGTAAGCAATTTCAGTGCAGGGGCATGTACAAATGTACTGAAGGGAAGACGGTAGTTCAGTTAAAAGAACAACTCCTTGCAAAGATGCACTTAACCCTTGCAGTGGGGTTAAGTGCTCATTTGCCAATTGATTATCACAGCGGTCCCTCCAACCTCTCTCCTCCTGCGCTGCAGCGAGGGTATGTCCCTTGGCATCCTCATGTCTAATACACTGTGCGTTGGACGTGATGACTCAAGGACCCTTAGACCACTGCAGTGGAGGGGGAGTGAGGCTCCAGGGACCAGTCTATGAGCAAGCCAGCTTGGGGAATCAGGTGAGTAATGAAAACAAACAGTTAACCCTTGCAGTGCTGTGGTAGCCCCACTGCAAGGGTTAATAACAATTTTGCCTGGAGTTCTGCTTTAAAATAAAATTTTGTTTTTAATTCAAGATTGTATAAACTGTATTTTCCCTTTTTCAGACTGTGAAAAGCGCTGTGGTGCTCTGGACATTGTCTTCATTATTGACAGCTCTGAAAGTATTGGCTACAGCAATTTTACTCTGGAGAAGAACTTTGTCATCAATGTTGTAAGCAGGCTAGGATCCTTCGCCAAAGATCCAGGCTCTGACATAGGTACTTTAATTCAGAACACTGCAGTGTAAGGCTATTAACTATCTGAAAGAGAATCTTGTTTAGATGTATTTATTTCAACATTTAAGTGTGGTTTTTACATAGAACTGCACAGGTCATTTCTTGTTTCAAAGAGAACATTATCACTAATTAAAGGTTATTCCAATCATGACTTGAAGCTAAAGTCAACTTTATTTTTAATAAATGACTCAGAAATATTTATAATATAAAAATACAGGTTTGGCTGCAATACTCACTTCCTCTCCATAGACTTAAAAGTGAAAAACACTCATCCCATAACTAAGCCGACCTGTGGCAAAGAAGCTGTCACACATCGGCTCTATATATCAGGAAGTCAGCGCACACAAATCACCAATAGCTGACTTCCTGATCCTCTCCCTGCAGAGAGCAGTGACTGTCAGTTCCCGCTCCTCGCAGGGATTCTCGCCTCCCCTCTCCGTTCCTTCAACGCTGACTGGGGAGGGGGCGGGCACAGTTTGAGAGGCAGAGTCAGCTGTCAATCAGTCGGGATCCATCCCAGCTGGGGAGTGGCCCTGCGCTCTCAGCCTATAGCAGGCAATAGCCCGCTATATACTAAGTTTTGGGTCACCGGAGGACACAGTATATGCCCTCCAGTGATCCTAAGGAGTACTATGGGCAAAAAAGGTTGCCCCATAATTCCTTTTTTAACCACTCTAGGATTCAGCGCCATTTTAGTCTTTTCATTCTGGATTCACTGAAGTTGTTTGAACCAATAATGCAGAATTATTTATCTGGGATCATAGGTTTTGACCACCTTTTCTGATAGGCATGTATCCTTTAATATGAGGTTTCATACTTTATTATTCACTTGAGTGACTGAGTTCCCCCACAAACTGAAGGGCTAGTGTACATGGGCATACCTGGCTTGTATTTGATGTTTTCAATTGCTTTTGATTTACTTTAAGTTACTTTTGCATTCACATTGATTTGCAAGAGGAAGAAAAGCAATAGAAGTGCCATGATTGCAAGTCCTAAAACAGCTTACCAAAAAATCAGGTGAACTTAACCTTTAAGAGCCCTACTTGATAAAAGAGAATGCATTCTGTCTTTGAAGGGACCAGATATATTTTTGTTATATAAGTTTAACTGAATTGGTGGCTAATTTTGATATAATAATAAAAGCGTATTTGCTAATATAGTTGAATATCACTCTACAGGTACTCGAGTTGGAGTTGTCCAGTACAGTCACGAGGGTACGTTTGAAGCTATTCAGTTAAATGATCCCCGCATTGACTCTCTGTCCAGCTTCAAGGAGGCAGTAAGGCGTCTGGAATGGATTGCTGGAGGAACATGGACCCCATCAGCTCTGCAGTTTGCCTATAATACGCTAATCAGGGAGACGAGACGCAACAAGGCCGAAGTTTTTGCTGTAGTAATCACTGACGGTCGCCACGACCCAAGAGACCCTGATGAGGGTCTGACTTCACTGTGTGGTGTCGATATCACGGTAAATGCAATTGGCATTGGTGACATGTTCAACAAAGAAGATGATCCTGAGACCCTGACTTCCATCGCCTGCAACAACAAAAGTCAAGTCCAGAAGATGAAACTTTTCTCTGAACTTGTTGCTGATGAATTCATAGAAAATATGGAGAAGCGACTGTGTCCAGGTACTTGGAAGATGCATATATGGCATATCCCTACAAACCATTGCATATGTTAGTAAATATATAGCAGTCAACAATTTGTAAGTGTAATCATAGATTTATATAAGGGAAAATAGGCTGAATAAACCAACTATTATAACAGACTAATACAGCACAGTAATGAAACTATTTCCTATTTTAAGAAAAACTATTCCACACACCAGCAATCCTATACATATTTTATATAGCGTATAGAAAGGCACAGTGTAGGCATGGTTTATAACTGATAATATTTATAGAGATGTTAGCAGTAGACTGTAGATACATTTTTCTCAAATGTTTCAATGTTAAATGTTCTTTAACGTGTAAATTTTCTTATCCTTACAGACCCTCAGATTGTGTGCCCAGACCTGCCCTGTCAATCAGGTAATTATAAGTTAAAGGTAATGGGTATCTATCCCATTGTCTAGTAGAATACGTAGTGTTCGGTGTGCTTGTGCAAGTATCGTGAGAAAGACACAGACAGTACAAGGTAATACCTCATGTCCAGTGGCGTAACAATCGCCATATCGACCCAGGCGGCCGCTATGGGGCCCGGGCACAGGGGGGCCTGGCCAGGGCCGCCTGGGTCGTAATGGCATGTGTGGGTGCTGGCAGTCACAGACACAGCTCAGCAGCGGCCACGGCGCATTTCTCCTCATAGCCGCTGCGGAGCTGTGTCAGTGACTTCCAGCCGCTGCGGCAGATGAGGGCTGTGTTCAGAATGGAGGAGGCGGGCCCGCCTCCTCTTACATCACTGGCCAGCGACCTAAGAGCAGGTGGGGCCAGTGATGTAAGAGAAGGGGGGGCCCGCCGATAGCAGAGGAGGCGGGGCCCGGGGACGGAACAGGAGTCGGGGCCCGGCGACCACAGAGGCGGACAGCGCTGACAGGTAAGAGATCTTAGACCCTGCAGAGCCCACTATAGAGAGTCTATGGTGGGCTCTGCAGGGTCACTCTCCGCTGGTGCTCTGCAAGTGGCATGACTAGCAATCACGGGGCCCCATACAAAATTTTGCTATGGGGCCCTGTGATTTCTAGTTACGCCCCTGCTCATGTCCTTAACGCCCTCTAACCTTGCATGTTCCTAGATTGTCTCCACAAACATGTGACCTAGAGGGGGGGTTGTTATAAACATCCCTATTTTTTATTTTGCAGCTATTTCTAATTTAAAAGTGACGTTGAATGCTATTTTCCAAAATTAGAGCTGTTTTTATCAGCAGACCATGTTATATAAAGCAAATCTGTGGCAAAATACAATCCCCACTTCCTGGCAGACATCCATGTGTCTGCATGAGTGCTGAGATCCTCCATGGTGCATCCTGTGACCTCGAAACCAGGATATGGAATTAGTGATCATCTTAGGTAGCCAAGGACTCTGGCACTCCCCCTGCCACAAAAAGAAGTGGGAGGTCTGCTTCAATAATAAGTACAAAAGTAATTATAGCATGTGCTGTGTGCTAGAGCAAAGTATGGTGGTACAATCCAACTAGAGTTAAAAAAAAAACAGCAAGCAACCAATAATGCCATTGAGGAGGTGTAAACTTAATTTAGTCAAGTGCAGCCTTACAATAAAAGGTGTAATAAAGCGGTGAACACGTTTTTGGAGGCTGCCTGTCTGGCTGCCACCAGAAAGTTCCTTACCAAGAAATTATTTGCATAGCTCTGCCCACTGTCCTGGCATGAGGAATAATCCCCTTATACATTATTTGGGATATGTGATGGAATGAAACGTGATTATGTTTTATTCTAAGAAGGCTCTACTGTGCTGATTCGGATGGAAGGCTTTTGAATTACTTTTTTTCCCTTCTCATTATATCCTCAATGATAATATTTGCTTTATTTTTATGGCAACATATGACATGCACTCCTGGTAATCATCTCTCCTGTTCATCAGCCAGGCCATACGTAAATCATAATGAAAACCGGAGCACAATAAACTTACCAGGGTTAACGCAGGCATACATTCTTTTCTTGCCTAAAAAGCAAGCTCCCATGGTGCAGGCTTTCTTCTACATTAGGCAAATCATCTTGTTTACATGCTGGGCCTCTTACATGTAAGTGGTGCATGTCTTATAGAGCACAGCACTGCAGTCGTGTCTCCACCTCCCTCTTCTCCAGGCCATTCACAAAATGAAGCCTGGGCCTATGTGTTTTATGAATGGCCTGGAGGAGAGGGAGGAGGAGACACTTCCACAGCATTGTGGTCTATGAGACCTGCAGCACTTACATCTGAGGGGCCCGAAAGTACAGTGGAAGCTGTATTGAATCCTGGCATGAAAAAAAACAAGCAAATTTGCCTAATGTAAAACAGAGCCTGCATGATGGGAGGTTGCTTTTGAAGCAAAGGAATGTCTACCTGCTTTAATCCTGGTAAGTTTATTGTGCACGGAATTAGCCTTTAAAGAAATAAACTGGCAATCTAATTCGCAATGCTTAGAACACTTAGGGGTCTATTTATAAATGCTACATAACAAATTCTGGCACACAGCTTCTTGCTTCGATCCTTTTTTGCATAACAGATTAAATCAGTCATAGCTTTTAATAGCGATTAACCCAACCTGAAATATTTTGTAAATCTTGGGTGAAAGTTGTAAAACTCCCAGGTGACAACATTTATAAATAGACCCCTTGCATCATCTGTGGGTCTGCTTTTAGTACACCTGGACATGTTGTTTTATATTTCAAGGGACATCTGAGCTTTGGCAAAGACTGGCAAACATCTATTTTTCTACTATTAATGCCCCAGTGGTTTATAAGGTCCTTGTCACACTAGAGATCCAGTCATTAGCAGGATTACATATGTAATTGGCAGGATTGTTAAGAAAGAAGAGGGAATCTGCACCTGCACTTTGCATTATTTGCTGAAGAGCAAGATTCTGCAGTGTTTCAATCAGTGAGGGAGTGACGTGTAGGAGCAGATAAGTGTTGCCCACGACAGGATCGCTAGTATGATATGGCCCTAAGGGTGCCTGAGTTTAACAATGACTGCTTAAAATAATTTATGCTATAACTTTACCTTAAGTAATGTTACCTTAAAAAAATAATTGTGACCACAATAATAATGTGAGTATCCATAGCTATATTCTGCTGTACTTTTCTTTTACACAGCTGCTTTTGTTGCAATTTTACTGCATGAGCTAACTACTTTTCTTCTGTTTCTGATTTCTGGGTAAAATAACCATTAATGTAGTCAAAAAAGGTGGCAGTGACATCTTTGCTGAAAAAGAACTCAAGGATAAAACACTAAGGAGGTTATAAAGTAAACAAAAGGCTAAAAGGATTTTTAAATGTTATTGGTCTAGTAACAACTCTCTCAGAGGAAAGGGAGCCCTGACCCTGTCCTTCTGACACTCACTTGCAGGTGGGAAGGGACATAATCCTGAAACTATCGTTAATTACGACCTTAATGAAGAGGGTGTGGAGATCGCCTTTCCTAAAACCATCCCTCAGGTTGCTGAATTCCTTGAGTCCCAGAAGGCGAGTTCCGAGCCCCCAACGCACTCCCAGCTCGTTGCTATGATGGTTTATACGGCTGAGAGAGCCAAGTTCTCCAATGGAAATGAGAGGCAGAAGTGGACTGGGCTGTTTATTGACACTTTTAAAATGGTTCACACAGACATTGTAGGAGACGCAGAAGCTCTCATTGGACTCTGTTAAATCAAAGTGGTCATTCCCCAATTAGCATTGAGGTAGTATATCCCTGTTACAGGTTTAACAGGTGTATGGTTTCGGGTTTGTATTTTTAAATTGAAAAGCATAGTCAGATTAAGGGTTATAATCAAAGTAGAGATATTTATATATAGTTGGTCCTCAGACGGGATTCTGGAGGGGCGCATTATCAATAAATCTATACTGAAGAGTTTGTCTTGTAAATGTTTTGTATATATATAAAATATAATGATTATATATTTGTTTGCATATATTGAAACCTATTTATATAATTTGTTTCTTCCAAGTACCCCTTCTGAAATTACTTGAAATGTTCTTTTTGAATTAAATATTATGATCAGTGGCAAGTGGTTCTGCTGGAATAATTGTATTCCTACTAAAAGTCCACTGTTGACGTCTTAATCTTCTTCTAATCCTTGTATAACACTTTCTGATTCTCTAAATGCAAGCTTCCTTAACAGCTTTCACTTATCAATCTAATTGGGTTCACCAGTTAAAATAGTTATTTAATTATGTAAAGAGTTAAAGAAGCTCTGTCCATAAATTTTAGTTTCCCTCCCAAGTCACATTTTGTTTCTGCTGTCATGAAGTACCTAAATAAACAGTGATGTCCTTTTGTGTTTACACCACCTCTGGTGCCATGCAGTCATTTTAGCTAAAGAGAATTCTAGAATGTGATATTGGAGGCAGCATGGGAGTCTGCTTTATATTTACATGGTCATGGTTCCATGTTTTTTTTTTTATTTTAGTGAGCCTTTGACTCCTTTCAATATCCCCTACATTCCTTGACCCTTACAGTTTAATTGCTGAATTTAGCCACAAATGTTCTGGCTGTGACAGAAATGATCACAGTTTGTCCATTTTGGGGTTTGGTGCTGCTCTAATATTGCTGTCTTAGGCATCAACCCACGAGTGATAAATACAGCCCTGGAAGTACCTTGCTACCTAATGATCAGTCATGGAAGACCTGCCCAATGGCTGATGTGGCAGGAATTGGAATAATGTATTAGATAAGCATTGGGGGCCTGTGAGAAAAGCTGTCTTCAGGGTAAGGAGAATATGATTTATGGCTCCCCTTCCCCATTTGCAATACTTAAATAACAATTTTGACTGGGGATCCTCTTTCAGTATTCATGACATTCTGCCTGTTTTCCAATGCTTTGTGACTATATATTTGTATATCTATATAGATATATATTATGCATGGAAGTAATTGCAGCAGCTTGACTTTATATTGCAGTGTGTACAACTCTCTCTGCATTTTTTTTATTTTTCTGTTGCTTTGAATGTGAAAGGAGAATCCTGTAATTGGTACTAAGTGTTAACGGAGATGCTGCTATAAGGTGGTTAACCGTCCCCCAAGTCTACGATGTAGGTGAGCAAAGTTAGGATATGTGTAGGATAGTCCCATCATTCAGTCCCTCCCCTACTATGAACACAGTTTATGACCAAAGGTAAGTAGAAGTTTTGGATAAGGATCATAGATCCATATGTAATTGTGAGCTTGACCACCAGTTTAAAATGTCTCAAAATGGTCAAAAGAGAGCCCTACGTTTCCCCATACCTTTGGAATCCTCCATGATACTCTATAGGTAATGACACATTTAAGTTACTATATATATATGTCAGTGATCTATCCAGATGTCTTCGCTATAGAAATATAACTATTTGCAGATACCTTAGGATGTAGATCTATATAGTATATATAGTGTGTATATGACCTGTATACATAGTATATATACACCTTTCTTTCACAGAGCTTGCCGTTGCCCAGTGCACACAGCGCCCAGTGGATCTCGTCTTTCTTCTGGATAGCTCTGAGAGAATTGGAGCACAAAACTTCAAACAAGCAGCATCCTTTGTAGAAGAGGTCTCTAGACAACTGTCACTGGCCAAGAAGGATGACGACACAGCCAACGCCCGTGTGGCCCTGCTGCAGTATGGGGGAGAAAAGGAGCAGGCTGTGGCATTCAGTCTTACCTACAACCTGACTGAGATTTCCCAAGGGCTTTCACGTCTCACTTACTTTGACTCATCCTCGAACATCGGAAGTGCCATCATTTATGCCATCAACAACATCCTTCAAGACAAGACCAGAAGAGCAAGGCGATTTGCAGAGACCTCTTTTGTCTTAATCACTGATGGTGTTACTGGTGAGGTGGACCTGAAGGAGGCTGTCACAGCAATGAAGAAGAATAATGTGGTCTCCACCCTGGTTTCTGTTGGAACAGACCTTGACATGCAGGTTCTAAGGGAGCTTAGTTTAGGCGAGAGTGCAGCCATCTTTAAAGAGAAGGAATATGCCAGGCTGGCTGAAAATGCCTTTTTGGACAGATTTGTGCGTTGGGTGTGCTAATTGAGAAAACAGAGAAGTTGTTCCTATTACTCAATGCTCTACAACTATTTTCATTTTTCTTAGTGATGTGTTGAATTCTAGTAAATGTCTGAGCTGAATTCATACATAGGATTCCACACAGGTTGCTGCAGTTTGAAAAGGAGAGATTTAGTTACAGAGCATTGTGTAATGAACAAGTGTGGTCTTACAGGAAGATGTTTAAATAAATCTGGTTTAATTACTGTGCTACTCTACGGATTGACTTATCCACAAGTCGTATAATGGCATTGTAATTAAGAGATCAATTTCTCATGACTTAATAAATCAAGAGTAGATTAATAATAATAAAAATCCAGAAAAACTCAGGGCCTATTTAAAAACATGGTTCAAATGATAAGAAAATATACAGTTACCTATAGTAATCTTCTACCTACTGGGTTTCAGCAGTTAAGAATGCCTCCAAAATTTCATGGACAGTTCCTTTATTGGTAACATGCAGAAAGGGGACCTGGGGAAAGGGGTGTGGTTCAGACCAGATATAGGCATGATTTGAAATATAAAGGGGGCGTATATGTAGATCAGCAAGAGAGCTTAACTGTCATCATTCTGCATGTGAACATATTGGGAGGTATACTTCACTGTAGTAATTACGCTTAGTTGGTTGTTATCTGCAATTATACATCTTTGCTTTTTGTGCCATGTTTTTAAATGAATCCCAAATTGGAGGCAGACATGCAGAAACTTGTAAATGTGGACAGATACTCCAACAATTGGCTATGTGTTTCTTTGTAAAGTTACATTTTGGCAATATGACTGATGAAACACACAGAAGCATAGGGTTAAAAAATGTAAGTCAGGAAAAATGTATAGATCTGCACTCACTTATAGGTTAATACGTATAACTTGTGTTTCTAAAATTGGAAATTTTTTTTTGTTAATATTGTAAGAGAAACATTTTTTCTGTGTGACATGGATAAGGTACTGAACATCAATGCAGCTCACAGTGCACATTTACACATAGTCAGTGTCACTGTTGCTTGTCACACAAATGTGGTGCTAACTGCAGGTCACCTGACATGGTGACCTGAATTTAAACCTGTGGCAGGGGTGGGAATGGGGCTACACAAGAGGGTATTTTTGTACATTGGCAAGGGAGGATGAGGCCCACACGACAGTTTATTGTCATAGGATGCAGAGACTCAGGAATTAATAAACCATTCATTATTATTCCTAGAACTGAACTGACAATAAAATATTCTCCTGTCATACTGTGTCTTTTTTTCTTTTACGTTTACCACCAATAAAAGCATGCTTTCTAGAGTCATTATTAAAAAAAAAAAAACACTTTCTCCATAACTGCGTACAGAATTTGTTAAAATTCAAAGAAACATGGCTAGTCTATTCTCTGAAAATGTTATTATTATTATTAAACGTGTTGTCCATTTTACTTTATATAGCCACCTTTTCTTTAGATCTCATCTCCTAGGTATCCTTTTCAATTTACTTATGCTTACGATCTTAAAGTTGACCTTTACCCCTTTGGCTAAAAATCATCTTCATTAGTTAAACATATTTTTATTTTACTTACGTACAATTTCTTGTTTTCGAACTCCTGGTTCTCTTTGGCAAAAGTGATGTAATTGTGCCCAAGCATTGCATCCTGGGAAGGTTATATCAGCAGTGCATTGCTGGGAAATCTCATCTGTAATCTCACAGGATCTCAGGGAAAGGCATTTTCCTCCCCTAAGATGATGTGCATGATCACATGTGCCAGAGTTCCAGGAAGTAAAGGGAGATGGATTCATCTGCCCTTAGTAAAAAATGGCCACTGTGAGAAGAATGGAGAGGAAAAGAAAAACAAGGTATGCAAACATTAAAAACCGGCACTTATCTATAAGTATGTGTTTGTACATTGTCATCACTAAACATTTCTAAAGGTGTCTGTTGTTATTTTGAAGATATGGTGAAGTTCTTCTTTAAGGCCCCATTCAAATTGGAACACAGTGGCAGTCTACATGTACTCATACTTGAAGCTATTACATGTAGTTTGGGATAGGTGATCAATCATCTATCCCAAACTTCATGTAATAATACCAAGTATGATTACATGCGGACTGCCACTGACAGATGCAGCCATTGTCACCCTGTCATTTACTTGAATGGGTACAGTGGTCACATCTGAACAGGGACACCTGGCCCTCCTGTTGCAGGAAGCCGTAGGTTCTTGCCGCAGGAATGCCAGAACACGCCATGAGAATGCAGCATGGTAGTTTAACTTCTTGAGGTTTAGTAAAGGTACAGATGAACTTTGTCCACTAGGTGAGTATGAACAGCTGTTTCTGCTAAGGAGAGCCTGTCTGGGGCATGATAGATATTCCAAAAATAATTGACAAACACAAAGGGGGTGGTTCTGTATTCTCAATCACAGGGGCTTGTTGAGATTGGCTTAAAGAATTTGTAAAGCCAAAACTTTTTTCTTCTAGTTTCAGAAAAATGAAGGGTTAAAACCGCTATCCGACTATTTTTTGTTGCCTGTGAGAGATTTTCCACTACCTTGGGCACTCTCCCCAGCTTGTTACAGGAACAACTGTCCTCACTGAAGGATTTTCTCTTAAAAGGAGAATTATGAGGCAAGTGATTTTTACTCAGCTTCATAATCTGAGCCGACCTGTGACAATGAAACTGTCACAGGTCGGCTCAGTAGATCGGGAAGTGAGCGAACACATCCTGTCGCTCGCTCACTTCTCGATCTATCCATGCAGAGGGCCATGACTGTCACTCACGGCTCCCTGAAGGGTTTCCCTCCCTCCCCGCTGCGATCCTCCAGCGCTGACTGGCAGAACGGATGGGGGAGGGGGCGGGCACAGCTGGCTCTGCCTCTCGATAGGCAGAACCAGCCGTCAATCCCGCAGCTGGGTGGACCTCGACAGCAATGTCGGGATCCGTTCCGGCTGCGGCATCTCAATAACGCTTTGGGTCACGGGAGAATGCTAGTGTCACGATCTGGGATCAGGCTCAGAGTCCAGCAGCTGAAGCAGCAGGCAATTCGTAGTATAACAGGCCGGGTTTGGTACACAAGCAGAGGGTAGTGGAGTAAGAGCAGGCAGAAGCGTAGTCAGTGAACATGCCGAGGTCAGGAGCCGAAGGTATCAGGTATGTAGCAGGAGACGGAGAGAGTAGTCGGTGAATCAGCAGCCAGGGGTCGGTACACAGGAAGGCAGTTTGAGTAGATTGTAGCATAGAGGGAGCAGGAAGCAAGATCAAGGCAGGAGCACAATAATCTGGCAAAGAGGAAGTGCAGAGGTATGTCTTAAATAGGAAGTTCAAGGGAGGAGCAAGGAGGTCAGAGTTTAGCATCTGATTAGCTATAACTGAGGATACACAGAAGATCAGGCAAGGAGCTACCCAAGGTGCTTAGGTGGCTCAGCAGGTAGAACCACCGCCAGCTACAGCAGAGGCTCTGGGTTCAGACCTGGTTCCTGACAGCTAGTTTGTGTTCTCCTGTGACCCTTAGGAGAGCTATGGGGAAAAGCCCTGACCCCATAGTTCTCCTTTAACTCTGGTGACAAGCCAAGATGTTTGGTTTTCCCTTTAATTTATGTACCAAAGACAAAGGTCACCAAGAGGAATAGAGGTGTGAATCCCCCCAGCAGGGATATAGAACTTGAAAAAAGTCTAACCCTTACCCACTTTTCAAAACTAAAAAATGCCTTGACATACACTTTAATAGATAAGAAAAATAGAAAGTGCTTACCTCCTCTGTCCAATATGCTGTACGGAACAACGGAGTTGAACCATGACTGTCACTCCTTCTTATAGAACATCTTGACACAGCACACAGTTATGGATCCTTCACAAAATTATTTTTTATTACATCGAGGCATTAGGGCATAACACTAGTCATGACAAATTTGCAAACACGTTTCACTCTCTTTGTGAAGGTTTTCATTTATCCAGGTCATTGTATAGCTATTAGTAATTGGATACATTCTACTTGACTTGCTCTATAATGTAGAAGAGGTGTTTTTACTGCATAGTTACATCTTTCCTGATACTCATTAGAGCTCAGGAACTTAGTTGGATGAGTAGTAAAACATCTTCAACATTACAGAACAAGTTCAGATGAACTACTGACAGCTGCAATTTTCAGTTATTTTTCAATTCAGTTATATCTGCAGCACCCCTGTCACTTATGTTGTGGCACTACTGGATTTAGTATTTATTTCAGGACTGTGGTCAGTCTGGAAGTTGAGTATTCTAAATTCTGCAGGTTTTCACCTATACCTGTTAAATTGATTGTTTCCCCCTGTTGCTGGATGGGCTTCAGCATACAGTGTGGGAGGATCAATTAACAGATTACGAATATGCATTTGACTCTTACCAATCCCTGGGCAAGGCTCACTCAGAGGTATGGCTGGGTGAAGGTGATAAATATTTGGGAGCACTTTTCCAGAACTCCCTCCCCAGGGGCATCTCCCGGGCCTGAGGTCTGTGGGCTTGTAAGATGTCTGGCATGGGCCTTAGCATATGGCATGTGCTGGGGGCTCAGAGGCCTAAGATGCTACTGGACAGAAACCCGAAGAATGTTGGGCTGGAAGAATCGGCTTACTGAGGAGCGTTGCAGAGGAGCTGGTGAGAGCTGCCGTCTAGACCCTGTAAGAGATTCCTCACCCTTGACTCAGGTACTATACAGAAGAGAAGAAGCCAGTTGGTGCACTACAAATACTGTGTCTGCTCTCTGAGTCATAGATTAATTCTGGCTGCTTTCTGTTGCAAGAGACTATTTTGGTCCCTCTCATAGGACCTGTTGCTCTTGCTGTTGCTACTAATGAATACACTGTCCTGCTTTTTTGTTCTTTGGGTATCCTGCAACCTTAACCCTCTTTCCTGAGTTACTACTGAGCAATAAATACTAAAAAAAAGACCCTACGACTTGAGCCTGTTTTATCCTAGAAGTGTTGGTGTTGCTGGAGCTGAGAAAAGGGGTCGGTGGCTGCAAAACAGGTTGGAGAACCCTAAGTTATTCCAGCAGCTCCTTCGGGGGTGAGCGTCACATATCTATACACTGTTAGTTATTATCTGGTTTTAAATGTTTTTTCATCATCAGCCTATTTCAGGCCATTATCTTTTCAAAATCTACACTGTAAAGAACAGTTTTACCTTTACACTGTGTACTCTTCTAAACAACATCTGAAAGCAATTACAAAACAAAGTACATAGAACCTGTCACACATGTATTTATACATATTGTATACACAGTGAAATCCATCAGAAATCAGTGTGGCATATCATTATCTTAAAACATGCTATTAATTAAAAAGTTTCTTTATTTGCATATTTGTTAATTTACAGAGATATCAAGTTTATTGAAAG